CTAGTGGTTACTACTGCTAGTGATGCTAAGAGCACTACATACAAAAAGAAGAATAACAATAATAACAGTAAGCTTGTGTAAGGAATTTACTATTATCATTGATAGGTTCAAGTTGCATTAAAAATGAAATGTGAAGTGGATTCTCAAGACTGAAGCTAGAGATTTATATACTAGTTTTATTTTTTTGAAAAATAATTCTTTTAAATTTTGATTGCATGTATTTATGACGATTTGAACTGTCATTGCCAGTTCTACAACTATTGCTGTGCAGCACTGCTAAATGAGCCACCATCACGTACACACATCTTTTTATAATTAATTATACAAAATATGTTGTATAAAAATTCTAATTAAAATTTTAATTTTTAAGGTTCCAAATTTATGTGAAGATGTGCATGTATCTATATTAGTTGAGTTTAGTAAAAGTTAAGATGTTTGTCATTAAAAATGAAATAATCTTGAAGACTTTACTGACTGCAGTCAATAGGAAAGGGAGAAAGTCACTCTGGTCTCCTAGTAGTGGTATATAGGGGCCAGACTTTATAGCCTCCTGGTTTTTATACATGACATGCATTGTTTTAACTGCTTTTATACAGTAGCTATATACATGCACGTAAAACAATGAACTAATTGCAGCCATACTTTTTTGACTTATAATACAGGGACTTTGGGCCCATTTTTGAACAAATTAAAAAAATTCCAGATTTAATTGGAACATAGTTTCGTCCTGCCCTTCGCTACCTGTGGAGGGGTGGGGCAAGACTAATCAGACCATTGATCTATGATTGGAATTGGTTCAGATTTTCTATGCAACAAAAGTATATGTATACTATTCTCTCTCTAACTAGTCTCTCCAAGGACAACACCACACTTAAGAAAGTCCATTGAGGTAAGCATGGAATCCATTATCCTCAGGAACAACTCTCTGACTCACTAGTAGCAACTAAACACCTTCAGCCAATCAGAAGCTCCCTTATCTTGTGTCGACAATAGAACATCCAGGTTCAGGAGTATAAAAATTCTCATGATGACTCCACGTGGTTTTAAGGCAGGGCTAACCACACCCACACCACGCCCTTGAGATTGATCTTATAAAAATTTCAAAATAATATTATTCTTGTAAACTACCCGAAAATAAAAATAAAATTTAATTCCAACTGATTTTATTAGGGAGTCATTCTTAGAAAAACAATCTTTTGGAGACTGAGTAAAACCTTGTTTCTTTTTAAGTGTATCTACAAAAATAAAAATAAATCATGCATGAAAGTATTTTAATGATGAACAAGATCCTCATCTATAACCAACCTCAGTATAAGATGATCCGCTTTCAAACCTATACTTCCTCAATATACTCACTAATCATGCTTTAGTAGTTGATACAGTACTCATTGCTGGGTTTGCTGCCTGACTAAAAAGTTTGAGGCATCTTTCAATTTCATTCTTTGAACATGATGACGTGACACAGCACATATTTCTGTGTAGAAATAAAAACAGTTCAATGAATAAGAGACAGAGACAAAACTCTTAAATAGTCACAATAAAACACAATGCAACTTTTTGGTTACTTTTATCTGCAAAAAATTCATGGTAAAGAGTTGGGTAGTGTACATTCATTATTGAAAAACACAAAATACAGTTTATTGATTGAAATGGCCAAATATTAGGCAGAGTCACTTTTTACTAGTAATGTACTGTAATGTAGATCCACATAATCATATAATGTATGTATACAAGTATGCTTATTAGTGTTGTTGTAGTTCCTTGGTACTAGAACTAAATCAATTCTAGTACTGCCTTTTTTTCATAGTTCTAGTTCCAAGAACTAGAACTAGTACTATTTTTACAACCAATGTAAGAACCAGAACTAAACTAGAACTAGCTTATACAACACTTGTAGTACTAGAACTAAACTGGAACTAAACTTTGCCAGAGTCTCAGTACTAGAACTATACTGGAACTAAAAGTACATTCTCTTGTGGTACTAGAACTAGTTTGGAACTAGAATTGTAGAACAATATTACTTGACAAAGAAGGTACTAATTTGTCAGTGAAATATTTTAGTACATAACAAAGACTGAATAACAAATAATGTATGAATTTGTTACTTAGACATAGATTATAATGCATAAGTATATCAATAGACTTTTGAATACTTGTTCAGTTCAAAGCTAAGCAGTTAAAGCATGACAGCAGAAGCAAAAAGAAGTAGTATTTAGAAATTACTTCCAATTAGAACTAAGCTTCTTAAACTCTATTGCCAGAACAAGTAAAAGAATTATAACTTAGCTCTAGAACTAGAACAATAGCTAAAATTTATTGAAATCTAGTTCTAGAACTAGTACTAGAACTAACTTTATCAAACTATAGTTCTAGAACTAGTACTAGAACTAAACTTTATCAAACTCTAGTTCCGGAACTAGTACTGGAACTAAACTTTATCAAACTCTAGTTCCGGAACTAGTACTAGAACTAAACTTTATCAAACTCTAGTTCCGGAACTAGTACTAGAACTAAATTTTATCAAACTTCAGTTCTAGAACTAGTACTAGAACTATATAAAATTATGGTACTACAACAACACTAATGCTTATACACACACCTATACTCAAATGCATATACAGTAAATGTAGTTATATAATTTATAGAAAAATGGTTGCTATACATGCAAAAAGGCATTTTCTATGCTAACACACTATAAATTTGGTGGAAGAATGATTGGTGAAATGAGCTTCATTTGCTAGACAAACTTGCATTTGTACATGCCACTGACAATGACAGTAACCATTGGCTAAAACTTATAATTATGCAAGATATGATTAACAATTAACAGCATAACTTGTTCTAGCAAACCACTGACACTGACAGTGACACTTATAACAAGCCAATGATTATAACTTCATGTCATGGGTTAACACCTGTTGTGCAATACATTACTGACATCACAAGAGTACTACTATATAAAGATTATAGGTTCCTTATTCACAGACAGTCAGACACAGTGTCACCACTCAACAAGTTACCAACAAATAATCTACCAACTGATCAGAAACTGTAACTCATTCAACTACTAGTCTATAGTAACACACTATTGATGGATTCTTTCCCAGTTCCTCTTCTGATCCAGTGTCTCCTGTATTCAATAGGTAACTTGTTTGATGATGATGATAAACCTATTCCTGGACTAGCATTACTACCTCGTTCTATTTGTATCAAACTCCTCCTCCTTCTACCAGCAGTAGATGTACATAAGTTGGAAGGTACATCAGTTACTGCTGATATATTAATGGATGAGATATGGGAGACACTCTGTAAGGATTGTTGGTCACCATGTGTAGATGAGTACATTTCTTTGTTTTGGTGGAAAGATTTATACTTCAGTTACATCATTATACTACATTTTATGAAGCTAATAAAGAATTTTCTGTATACTTTACTCATGTTAAGGAATCAGTCTATAATGATATCAAGATGGCAACCTTTCATAATGTTGTTTGGTGGCAACGCTTCGATCGAGTAACTACAATAGAATTCCAAAGTAAAGTATTAACACAATGTTATCGTTGGAATTCACATGATTATTTCTCTTATTTCTCGGATTTAGCTGTCACAATGATTGACTTACATATTCCTCTTAAGTTACTTACTGATAGAGCACTACCCCATTTCTATGAGTTGGCATTATTTAATCGTGACATTGCAGCTAAGTTAGTAGCATCTGTTGAGTGCATCATGTGTTATGAATATGGACCTTTATTAGTGGACTATCTTCAACAGCAATGTGACCTGAAGATAATAAAAGTGGATTACATTGATAGTGAAAATGCTGAAAAGTTTCAAAAAGTTATACAACGACATATAAATTTAGAAGTGGTCTCAATTATGTCTGAAACTTATGAAAATGACTTTATTCAATGTTTATCAAAACTAATATGTATCGACCATGTTTCAAGCAAATGCATATCAAAGTCCACTCATGTACAGATACCCCTGGTACATCATTCATTTCATTTAATGGTGTCCATTCCTTACTGTCTGCATTCTTCCTCTCTCCTTATCCTCTCACACTTAGATTGGATAAGGTTACATTGATTCTAGTGATCCTCTAGCTATCAACACTCAACAACAATCAAAATCACTTGATGTAGCTCGTGTGTATTTATATACAAGTGTAAGTGATGCCTCTTGTATTTTTGAGTCTAATTTTCTTCCTCAGTACATTGTATTGAAATCATTGAAGATTAGGCCACTCCAATTTGATTCCTTGTTTCCCATTACCCGCCCGCATGGGGCCGCATCGCTATTCATTATTGCGGTTTTTCATTGATTATACAAGCAATTTATACAGCTGATAATGAATAAATTTAATGAAAATGAACAAACCCGCCCGCCCGCATCAGGCCCGCCTCTGTAATGGGAAACTATGAATCTTATTGGAGTGGCCTTAGGAGCAATGATGCACTCTGTTTATTTTCTAAAGTGAAATCAATCAAAGTAGATCTATGAGATCACTATTGATATTGATACTGATACTAGCACTGATATTTTAAGATCATTGCTCAGTATTGTATCAGCAAATGATATGACTGTTTCTATCAATGAAATAGTACTATAAATAGTCATGGAATTTGGTCAGTCAATTCTCCTGGAGATAATTTTTAATTCACTGTCACCAACTAAACCACCTTATCTTCAATTGACAGTTAACAATGGATGTTGTAATGGATATTTATCAATGGTATTGTGTGATGCTTGGAAGAGATGTGGTGCCATCAAACTGAAAAAAGTTGTTATGGTTGATCAGTGAAATGGTCAAGAAATAAAGTATCTTAAAGAGATGATGTGAAACACATACATTGACATTATTTGTGAACCTCTTTGGACTGTTCAATTCAAATACTAATCAAAACTAATAGCTAGCTAATAACTTAATATTAGAATAAAGTTGTGTTTTCATTTATTCA